GTAATTGATGCTTTAACTCTTGCAATTCTTTCGGAGCCATTCGATAAGGTGCCATTGCAATCGGAGCTGTTCCCGGCATTATTTCTATTTGGAATTCTACCTCTCTATCCGGAGGTAATCCTGGCAATTCAGCAGGAAAAACATCAGGGAACTCTCGAACTATTGGAATTTCCTCTAACTTTTTCTCTTGAGCTCTTGAATCAATCACATTTGCCAGAAAACCCTGACATCCTTGTAGCAATAATTTCTTGGCAGACATCATTGATATTACATTTGCTAACGGATTAAACTTTTCACTGTTCACACTTATCTCTATTCCGTCTGGACTTTTCAGAGTTACCTTTTTCAATCTGCAACTAACATCTCCATAATACCGAAACAACCAATCCATTCCCAGAATCACTTCAAACTCGTCAAAGGGTAATTCCATCAGATTAGCAGGGAATTCAATTCCCTGAATCTTTATGGGACACCCCTTACAAACTTTATTCACCCGGCACTCTGGCCTAACGGAGTTGTTACTATATTCTCATTACTCGTAGCTTCTAAGGGAATCCCCAACTCCTTTACTAACTTACTTGTAATATAAGAATAATTAGAACCCGGATCAATCAGTACCAATACCAATTTATCATACAACTGAAAAGTACCTGCTATAATATCAGGGTCATCACGGTCTTCACTTGTCTTTAGGTTGTATACTCGAGCAGTGGATCGAACTTCAGGTTGAGCAGAGAATTCAGACGGGTTCCTTCCTCTGCCTCTTCCTCGGCCTCTTTGTGAAAAAGAACCAGCTCTTCCAGATGGTGCCGGCTCCCCAACCATCAAGGGACAGTCCCGGACAAAATGTCCAGCATCCCCGCATCGAAAACAAGTCCCAGCTGCCATACGACACTCCCCATAATGATTTTTCCCGCAGTGCTCACAATGTTTCCTTTGACCCGGAGTAGATCTCCCAGCACCAGATTCTACTGACTGCGTCTGTCTAGGTCTTGCCTGACTTGCTCCCCTAGCAGACGATGCAACTGATTCTGATCTAATTTGTGATCGAAATCCCGAGTCTCTTCCCCTTTTTGTTGGTGTTGAACCAGAATAAGTAGTCGTCCTTTTTGATGTCTGAACCCTTGAGTCCCCAAATCTTTCATTCTGAGCCCTTTCAAGAGCTTTTGCACGATTGATCACCTCCTGGAACGAGGACAAGTTTAATACTATCAACATTTCCTTAAGCCTAGGGCGCAAGCCCTCCACGAACCATTCGCAAGCATCTTTCTCAGTAGGCACAAGCTCGGCTGCAAACCTGCTCACTTATTAAACTCACATTCGTACTCATACACAGAGCGGCTCATCTGCTTCAAACTCATAAATTCCTGCTTCATTTGGCGGATAAACTGATCCCCAATGTACTTGCTTTTAAATTCTTCTAAAACAAAGACCAAGTCAACTGGTCGGTTGACATCCTCATGGTGACATTCGTCCACCATATCCTCGCCTGACCCCTTAGTAAAGACACAGCTCCATCTAATTTCTCCACTTCGGAACAGTGGAGACCATCTAACATGATTTTCAAATCATTCAACCAAAGATCCGCTGACACCGGACCTTCATCAGCTTCTCCCTTAAACTCGGGAGCTCCTAAACTTCTCAATTCTTTTGCTACATTAATTCGTGGAGTTAGTGGAGCAGGAGGTTGAAGACGCGTCAGAATAGCGTCTAACGTTCTGAAGAACGTATCTTGATCTTGCACAGGCACTCCTTGAGATGCCTGTTCTTCACCTTGCCTGGCCAGGGCAGGTGAATTACTGCTTTCAGCATGTCTATCTTCTTCCGCTTCACTTCGGGAGCTATTATGTCCGGACATCTAATAAGAATATACACATTGTTCTATTAGCAAAACAGCATACTCATACTATACCAGATCAGAAGTTATCACCATTTGTTGGCATGTATTCCATTTAAAGACTCCATAGACTCTGGTTTATGCCTAGAATCGGCTAAACCATAGCTCTGATACCATTAAATGTAACACCCCCAACTCATACCCGACCCGGATATGAGTCAGAGATACTACATTGACTTTAAAACACACTCTTAATAAATAATAGTAAAATATTGGGACTTGTATTAAGAAAATACAATAATATACATACTGTAATATAAGTTTACAAAAATATTCAGAGCATACACAACTTAACTCTTTAATTACATGCCAACTGCTATTTACATAACAAAATAACCTACTGATAAGTTGCTTCTGATCTGATGGTTGCAGGAGTAATACTGTCAAGCTGCTTCACCTGTCTCTTCTATTTTCCTCGGATCCTACGTGTGAAACACTCACACGCTAAGTCATCGACTTAGTGAGGCAACAATAATAAGGCAATGTATTGTAATGAATATGTCAGGATCATATGAGATGAGATGCAAACATGTAACTAATCAATGTAGTATACTTTAACAATATCCATACCTGTAAGCGTATGACTGTAACATTCATTATTCAGTATTAATAAGTTTATTGGCCCATGATAGCATATTGAGAACCTAAGGTATTTGAGTAATGTGAGGTTGTGCACTATGCTGTCACCACAGCTCGTATAAATGCACCGAAGTGCCCGTAGAATTGCACCGAAGTGCCCGTAGAATTGCACCGAAGTGCCCGTAGAATTTTGTCCATAAGGACCACGTAGAATCCTTTAAGAATCATATACATATACTATGGATCAAGTATGTGTCTTTCAAGACTTCACACAGGTTCCAAAGGATATACATATGTCCTAAAGAACCGAGTATACCCTCTACCCTTGGCATGCCAACTATACCTATAGTTCTCATCTACATAACATGGGCTTATACATTTCCCGTAGTTCATATCGCGTAGACATAGTATTTCCATACCTTTAACACATAGGCATATCATTTACATACTTTTATCACATAGTGCATAGAACTTTTCTGCATATTCATGTCATGTAATACATATAAGATGAATTCATGTCATGTAATACATTTAATACAAATTCATGTCATGTATCATAATATGGAATGTAATCATGTGTCAAAATATGGAATCTAGACTTATCACAAGTCTAGAACTGAATATACTACTGTATTCATGCTATGCATATGCACTCACCTATACTTCTTTGCCTTTTCCTCGATCGATCCTACTTGTAGATTGTTCCCGAACTCGAGTAGGCTCGGTATCTACATAAACATAATTTTTTTAAGATGATCATCAGACGTCTGTGTCTTGAAATTTAAGCTTTAATAGCTTACTAATTAAAAGAATTAATAGCTTAGTCTTGCTTTCTTTTCTTTCTTCTTCTTTTTCTCATGGGGGAATCGGTTCCCCCCCCTGGGGTATCGATTCCCCTTAAGCAATCTGGAATTCATATACGATGAGGGGTATCGGTTCCCCCCCTGGGGGTACCGATTCCCCTCTAGCATTCTGGAAATCATATTCGTTGAAGGGGTATCGGTTCCCCTTGAATGGGTACCGATTCCCCTAACCCAGAAATCCTATTTTTAGCCCGAAAATCATCTAATTTCAACTCAAACATACATATTTCAATCCCTTTACTACTCTTAGCTCTCATACACTTACTTAAACTAATTATTATCCATTAAATACCTCTAAAACTTAGAAATCTAATTCTCTATGTAGCATTTAAGAATCCAACTCAAATTCCAATATGTTCTAATTTGAATTCTAACCCCTCATACTTCTTAATTAACTTATTGACAAGTCAAAATTCTGATTCAAACATCAAAACCTCATCCATATCAAAATCTCATCTATAAACTCATTTTCCAAATCTATCTCTAAAACCCTAATCTTGTTGTTTTAATGTCATATAAGCTTTCCTTTAGTTTATATAACATCCAAGCTTTCATTTCCAATCATAAAACATCAAAGAAACTATCAAGTTCAGATTCTTACCTTAAATGCAAGCCCAACGTTGAGAGAAAGAAGAGAAGAAAATGAGGAAGAAGGGAGAAGAAATGGGAGGTTCTGGAATACACGTGTTCTCATATACCCCATAGCATTTTATTTAATTAAAAATTCCCCTTGCAAATGACCATTTGGTCCTCACCTTAATCTCATATTTACCAACCTTTATTTTTAAACTATATAATTGTTCTACTTTAATCACCAAATGTTGAAACTTTGCAAATTAATCACTAACCCGGCATGGAGGATGTTACAAGATCTGATCGCATCAACAAACCAATCAAAAAAGGGGATCAACATATTAAAAGACCGCCAAAAAACCACAAATCAGACTCAAGCGACGTGAAAAGGTATCGACGAACGCATAACGGGTATCCAAATCAAATCCGAGGGTCCAAAGTAGAGAATATCAACAATATAAAAGATAAGCATCATCTTGATCGGTCGTTACGATGTTGAATCAACCCTTAGAAAAGTATAAGTGAAAACAACAACCAAACGGTCGAAAAACGTGTAAAAAGACAGAAGAAAATGTGTCATACAGGCAGACTTATTGAAACTAAAAAACGAAAGAAAATAAAGATATAATATAAGAAAATAAAATGACAATAAAATACCGACGATCAAAAACTAACACTAAAATTGATGCCATTGTCGATCAATAAAGACAAAAGAAAAAGAGATGAACAGCTTGATAGAAAATCAGGAGAGTTATAACATTTATTTATATATTACTCATTCTTCATTATGAAATTTACTATTTTCTATGTATTCATAAATACATGCTTTAATCAAGAAGACAAATTATTAGCACCAAAATGTATTTTGATATTTGTTTCTTTCATATTCATCTGATATTTTTATTATTAAATAATCAATACAAAAAAGCATACTACTAAAAAGAGGGATGGATTTATTTGACTCCAAAATAAATCATTATGATTGGGTTTTATTGGCCCAATATTTGTTTTACCATTGGATTTATTTGACTCCAAAATATGTTGGCGACAAACAAACATGTAGTGTTTATATTTCTGCATTGAAAACAAGCCCCCGGCGAGGATCGAACTCGCGACCTCTCGCTTACGAAGCAAACGCACTACCACTATGCTACAGGCAAGCGTTAAATTTCCTCAAAATAAATTTTTTGAAAAAAAATAAAGAACTGATAACAAAGCAAATCTTATTTCCTTCATTCAAATTTCAAACTATTAATCAATTCAAAAAAAAAAATTAAAAACTATTAATGCTGGGGACCTTAGAGATGGTATGTCTCGGTATATCTAAATAATAAAAATATTTTATTTATTGATTCTTAGGGAGGCCATGGATTTTGAATGTTGTTTTTCCATCTTATAACATATGCAATGAAAGTGAAAACTTACCTTCTCATTGGGTGTAATATTGTATATATTGTTTGGTTTACTCAATCAAATAATTTTCTAGATTACATGCACAAACATCTATTACAAAATTCAATTATCATGAAAATCATTATTATATTATATATAAAAAAAGTTAAAGTTAACATGGTTACAAAAAAATCATTTTTTATATTAATTTTTTTTTGGTGAGAGGAATATTGGATTTCACATTTGGAGGTAAAAAATGAATGAATTTAAAATTTTGGGTCCAACAATCATCGACGGTGACAGTCTACGGTGATTGTGATGGAAATTGAAGGTGACCAGAGACGATGATGAGTGGCATCCAACGATGTGAACTTTAACTTGATTCAAGGGCCAAATCGATATTTTATATAAACTTTATGTATTAAATTAGTATTTTATATAAATTTTAAGTTCAAATTAGCATTATGTCTAAAATTTATGAATCAAGTTAAAATTTAATTACTTTTACTAACGTGACATGTCAGCAAAAAAGCTGAAGTTCACAGCCCATTAATCAAAATAAGACGGATCAAAAACAAAAATGACCAAAACCAAAATTTGCAAAACTGGTGGCAAAAATCAAACAAGCCAAAAGTATAAGGGACCACCAAGGTTTATTACCCGTAAAATATTCATAACCAATAAAAATATGACATGGTAAAATAAATATAAAAATAGATGACTTTAATGAGCAATTCATAGAATAGAGGTTATATAACTGTAAATAAAATATAAGAACTTATTTAAACAAAGTGTGATAGCTTAAGGGCTTTTATAATATATTAGCATAAATCATAATAATAGATGGGCTTTGCATGTCCACTGTCGTCATTTGGCCCATGATTAGAAAGTTGGTCAATTTTAATATGAAAATAGAATAACCTGACCTCCACCGCCGGCGGCAATCATAACGCCCCTTTTCTCTGTTCGATCCCATTTTATTTCTTTGATTAAAAGTTCTTTTTCGCTTACGTTTTAATAATTAGGAATGACGGGAAGTGCTTTAATTAAGCTGAGACCATGGCAGCAGGCGGCGGTTGCGGTAGGTTCGGCGATGGGTGCGTTACTCGATCCACGGAGGGCAGTTTTAATAGCTGCTCTAGGGGAAACAACTGGAAAGCCTGCTTTTGAAAAGGTTCTAGCAAGAATGAAAAGAAGCCCCGAAGGCAGAGTTAGTCTCTCTATTACTCGTATCCTATGCATTTACGCCTTAAATTTCACGATATGAAATCATTTGAAATAGCCGATTTTATGACTCCATATATATACTTGATCAATTTTGCATTGTGATGGATTTTGTTTGAGAATTCATAATGTTGAATTAGAAAAAAAAATTATGGATTGTAGGAATTGTTTAAGATGCCTTCAATGCAGAATCTTTATGTTTTAGGCATTGGACTTGCAAAGCTATGCTTTGAGATATATGATTTAAAGAGATAATCATAATAGCCTTGGAATCTGGTCATGGAAAATGGTAATTTTAATCAGTGTTTCAGATTAAAAGCTAATCCATGGATGTGATCAATGTGATATATTTTGCTTAATTATCCTTGGAATTTAGTGAGAAATTCTAGATTCATAGTCACAGCTTAGGATTTATGCTATGGGCGAACTTATAAAATTTTAGGAGGGTTATGATGAAAACATACTATTAATAGAAAATACAAATAAAATATCTAAAGTATATGATAATTTGAAATTTTTAAGGGGTTACTGCCTCCTACTTCCCCCTCGGTCCATCCCTGTGCATAGATACTCTCTTTCTTTTTTGGTTTTTGAGTAATGACTCTCAGAACTAAACAAAAAAACGGGAATAAAGACTGCATACAGTCAAATTTACTGGCTTAGTGAAGTTAGTAGTATCCTTATGTTGACATCATTTCTAAGGACTGCAATTCCTTTCTTTTTATGTACATGGTATATTTGTTCCTTTTACCTATTCTTTTCCTAATTGTTAATTTATATAATAGAGCCTTTCGTTAATGTCTTGTGGTATATTGCTGTGTTTTGCCCCATATGCAAATTCCATGTCCAATTTGGAAATTCAGAGCTTTAGCTTCCGTTTTTTTTTTTTTTTTTGATAAAACTTAAGCTTCTGATTTCATTTTAGGGAATTCGGAGTTTACTTGTGATATTAATCCATTGCATTCTTTTCTGGTCAGTAAGCTGCTTGATGGTTCAAGCGCATTGTTTTTATTGGTCATCCTCATCCACATTGTTCTGTCCATGTTCGACTCATATTTAAGCTGGCATGAATGACATCTTGTAGCTTTCACCCACCGAGTTTATGTAACAGGCAGTGCTCCTTGAACGGCCACGTGTTATATCTGCAAATGTAGGTCATGCATGGGACCTACCGGATAGCACTTTTGGTGCTGCATATGCAAGGTTCATGGGATCCAGGAATTTTTCGCCCGATGACAGGCCACCAGTGCGGTTCATGGACACAGATGAACTTGCATACGTGGCTATGCGGGCTCGCGAGGTGCATGACTTCTGGCATACCCTTTTCGGCCTTCCTACCAACTTGATTGGCGAATCTGCATTGAAGGTTATCGAGTTTGAGCAAATGCATCTCCCAATGTGCTTTCTTTCAGTTGTGGGGGGGACATCAAGGTTTAACCAGAAACAAAGAACATTGTTCTTCCAGCATTATTTCCCATGGGCTGTCAAGGCTGGTTTTCAGTGTACCGATCTCATGTGCGTATATTACGAGCAGCACTTTCATGAAGATTTGGAGGATGTTCGAAGGAAATGGGGGATAATTCCAGCTCCTACTGCCCCTAAATAATGTATTAGGCAAGAACCACTCGCGTAGTAGCAGGTTTGATATCCTAGCAGCACTTTTCCCTCCACCCCCAAGTTTTCTTTCCTGAATATATCCACTAACTGCAATTTTCTGGACTATCTAAGCACTTAATGGTATCAGAATAAAAAAACTTCACCATGTACAATTTTCCATCGGTATTTGTCATGAAAATATGTTGCTGCTTCTATTTTTGAAAGCAGATGATAGATTTCGTGGCTATAAAAAATTCTCATGTAAAACATTAATTTTTTTGCTTCCAACTGCAAAATTATTCTTTTTTGGGATGCAGTGCTCTGCTTTTGAATTGGAGAGCGTTTTGGAAGTTAAAAGTATTTGTTTAGAAACAACATTCCACAGCACTCGCGTCTTATATCAGGCAAGTTTTTGCTACGACACTGGGCGATGCACGGCTGACTGCAAACCTAGCCTACACTATTTTGCTTGCTGGTCCTTTAGATCGACGATTTGACATAACTGACACCTTTGACTATAATATTTCTTATCCAACACCGATTGACTAATATTTCTCAAAGTAACACACTTTCGGCTGAGGCGGCACAAAGGCGCATCCATGGGACGCATTTTACCTGGGTTTTAACTTACTGGGATGCCACGCGGGTAAGGCGCATCCCTGGGATGCGCTTTCACGGGGTTTTGCTTAATCGAATGCCACGTTGATTTTTGTTTTAATAAAGATTTATTTTTTATTGTTATTATAAATTAATAATATATTATGTAAAGTATTTCGGTTATAATTTAAGAATTATCGAAGGTATTTTTTAAATGTGTGTTAAAGGTGGAGTGAATTTAGGTTAAAGTATTATATGTTTTAGGGACTTTGACATTCACCCATTCCACGCGACATTAATTGGATGGAACTATACGGTGTCCGACTCTCGGACAATGGAACAATTGATGAAAACCAGCTTTGATCGTATTGTAGTTATAGGAAAAATGTATGAAATTATAATATTACACGTATGGTTATTTATCTATTATTTTTTTCTATTTGGATTATCGATCTATTAATTTTATCACTTAATTATTTAAATGCTATCAATCAAGTCATATGTTGTCAATATTTAATGAAAATATTGATGCACCAGTTAATAAAATTAGTATAATTACATATTTAATCTTCAATACTTACATGTTTTATCAATTTAGTCTTAATTTTAATTTAATTTAATAAATTTAATCCTCCAATCAGAACATGAAATGTGTCATCGTATACATAAAGTTTTTTTCCTAACTTTTAATTTGTTTAATTTAATATTTTTTCTCTAATTAGAAGGTGGAATTATTATAATATTTTAAAATTAATAATAAATTTTTATAATAAATAATATTAATTATTATATTCAATAATTATAATTAATCATTTTAAAAAATTACCGATAAAAAATAATTTATATAATATTAACCAAATATCATAAAATAATTTTTAAATATTAATTTTAAAAAAATATAATTTATTTAGGTGTACATACATTGGAAAATTATAGAAAATGCAATTACATTTAAATATTAGAAACAAAAACATTCATTGAAATAAAATATTAATTACATAAGGGTTAACGGTTATGTGATGATAACAGAGCTGGACATTTTTTTTCTATTGTGGCCGATGTTTTTGCAATGCCTACATCTTTTTTATTATGTTGACTTCTCCCAAATATCCATATCACAATATATTCTAGTAGATTTTAGACGACCTGAGTCCCTCAATAGCAACGGATCTGGTACAATTGTAAACCAAGTTTGAATCTCATATGGGTCTCTTTCGTTACCTATGGGCGGAAACTCAAATTCATATACCTTGAATACTTGTGAAAGTTGGTATACGGATCAACATAATTTTTGTAGTCCAAATGCGAATGTGAGCAAGTTGTAATGACATGAGAGCATGGATATTTGAGTGT